CTCTTCAGTTCTCAATCTCCTCAATTTCATCAAAGTTTAAGGTTGTGATAATGGATAAGGGATTATGGCCACTCTACTCTAACTGATATGAGCGATAACAGCAGAGAAATTTCACACATCATTTATTTTTTGTCCCTTAACTTTCTATTATATTTGCCAGTTAATTTCAATTACTTATAATCTCTCAGAATTTTCTTCCCATGGGAATTTCAAAAGCAAAATTATATTGTCCATTTGAAATTATATGTATCAACATTTCTTAGTCACCAGTTTTTATTTGTTTAAAATTGAAATAAAAAATATTTAATTATATTTGTTTCTGTTTAGATCTTAAATAAATATTGAAAAGTTTAGTTACCATTCATATTTTTGTGGGTAACTTTGTTATTTTGCAGAGATATCCAATTTGCCACAACTTAGTTTGTTATATTTACCGGCATTTTATTTTTATTTTTATTTTACAAATATTGCATGTTGAAATGAAGTTATATATACTGTTTATGTTCTAATGAACATGAATATATGAGTCAGCATTTTGTTAGTGTCTTATATTTCATAATTTTAATGAAATTCATGAATAAAGGAGAAGTACTTGTAAAAAAAAACTAAAAATTAAAAGGAAAAAGTAGATATTCATACTTATAAAAAACGCAAATGTTATTTTTAGTCTGTATTAGGTTTGTATTTTTAAATATATTTAAGTTATTATTATATTTTTAATTATAGAAAATATAAATTCTTAAAAATATAGTTTAAGTTGTCTTCTTACTGTTTAATGTAAGAAATTTGAAAAAGAAAATAAAAGTCAGATGAAACTGTTGTAAAAAATTTAACGATTATGTATTTTACATGTAGAGAAAATATTTAAAGATAATTTTTAAAAGTAGTGTTTATTATTAACTAAGATGAAGTTATTATCTGGATGTGTATCTTAAGATTATAAAAACATTATTATAACTAATTATTAACATTATAGCATTTAAAGATGAAGTAATTAATTAAAAACATCATTTATCAGATTTTATTAATTGCTATAAATTATTATTACTATTTCCTTGATGAATATTACAAGTAAATACTTGAATGGGTCTCTTAGATATAGGAACGATCGACAATTGATATATTTCTTTCGTTTAAATATATACTTGAATCGTTAATTTAATAAATCTATAATATTTCGGAGGAGACCATAACACATCATCTATACTGATAATCTTTTCAAGAGAGGGACCAACCAGTCATTATTTCTTTTATCATTGTTGTCTACACATTTTTAAATATCTATAATATTATATTAATAAATAATAATATATAATTTAATTATAACTAGTGTAATATACATTGTATTTAGTTAAGTTACAAACTCATGCTTATCGTTTTCCAAATTTAATTCATTTGATACATAAAAAAACATGAAGAAAAACTAATTACGCATAATTATACGAAATAATAATTTAAAAAAAAAATACATGTGAAGTTACAAAATTATAACAATATAAAATAGGAATTTATGGATTTGTACATATTTAACATGGAAAGCAACATCATCTCTATATATGCATGTATTTTGAACTTTTATGGTTATGGTTTTAATTTTCATAATATTTTTATGGTATTCTTTAAATAAAATTAGATAAATGACTACATTATATTAAAATATGATAAGGTATTAACAATATAAGAAAAATAAATATTAGGTTGAAAATTAATAAAAATGTAAATTTCATTAATGTAAATTTTAAAACTAAAAAAGATTCGAATATTATTTAATATGATTTTAAAGAAGAAAAATGTATCTAACTGATAAGATTGTATATATGTTTAATATTTTAAAATTTAAATTTATAGTAAATTATAATTATTTTAAGACTTACGTAAACTTTTAGGCTTTATGATGTTTAATAAAGCCTCGATAAACGTTTATAGTATCTTTGTCCTCCAATTTTTCAAACTCACATGTTCAAAAATAATAACAATGGTAGTTATTTATTAATAAAACTTGAGAGCTATATGTTATGCAATCAGCACATAGCATAAAACTTGACGGAACAATCAACACAAAACATAGAACATGGCGAAATCTCTATTACATGCAACAAGTAGCTGATGTACACAAAAAAAAATGTCAGAAAAACAAAAATAAAAAATATCAGGAATGCAAACTTGCAACATCATAGATGAATAACATTTATTAGAATTAAAACAAGATAAGAGGGGACAACAGAGTATTTTTCAAAACAATATAAAAGGGGTAATAATCATAAAACTACAACAGCATTGATGCCAACACTTGCCACTAAGCATCTCTAATAACTTTGCTGTAGACGAAAACAATTTTACTATTTAAAGGAAGCCTTGCTTGAAATGTTGTTCGAAAGCCAGTCTAGTCCTTCGTATAAACCTTCACCAGATGTTGCACATGTACTTTGGATGTACCTGGGGAAGACATGCATGCACATAGTTCAAAGATGCTTAAACTTGTGTGAGAACAAAACAGGATTATTAAAGTCATGTTTGGTTTTGAGTTTGCTGCTTCGAAACTCAGAATAAACTCAACTTATAGAGATAAGACTTTAGCTATTTTTACAAACTTAATTTGAATGAAAAAATAGTTAAGCAATTGTCATTGTTTGAGGACTTGAGTTACCAGTGACGTTGGCGCAGAGAGTTTAGACCAAGCCTATCAGTGATTTCAGCAGCGTTCATTGCATTAGGAAGATCTTGCTTGTTTGCAAAAACAAGCAACACGGCATCTCTTAATTCATCCTACTCCACGAAAAAAATCAAATTAGTTTACAAGGATGTTTTCACACTTTGCATATGAATATACACACACAGACCTCGTTCAGCATCCTATGCAACTCATCTTTAGCCTCAACAACACGATCACGATCATTGCTGTCTACCACAAAAATAAGCCCTTGTGTATTTTGGAAGTAGTGTCTCCACAAGGGTCGAATCTGAAACATCCCCATGGAACTCATTTATTAAAAATGAACTATAACAAATCTATGGCAATTACTTGTACAACAGTATTCTCTAAAGTTAAATTTCAGAGTGCCTTGATTATTCCAGAGGCATCACACAAGCGTAACATACTTCTTTTCATACTTTTTCAGTAATCAAAAGGGAGAAAATTTATTGAGTGATTATCACCTTATCCTGACCACCAACATCCCAGACAGTGAAGCTAATGTTCTTATACTCCACAGTCTCCACGTTAAATCCTGCATAGATAACCATGTTATTAAACATGATACAAAAGATAAATAGAAATGATGTTATGCATAAAGTTCTTCTATAGTTCAAACTTCTTGTGAGTATTTCCATGGATCTCATAAGATTGAAAGGAAAACATACCGATAGTAGGAATGGTGGTGACAATCTCCCCTAACTTCAGTTTATACAATATTGTGGTTTTACCGGCAGCATCAAGACCAACCATAAGAATTCGCATCTCCTTCTTGGCGCACAAACGAGAAAAAATCTTGCCAATAGATAAACCCATATTGTCTGCCATTACAGTAACCATAAAAATCGTAATAGTGAAATAATCTGAAACTAACTTGAAATTTCATGAACATGATAACGATAGGCAAGAAATAATATAAATTCAAAACCAAAATCATCTACAATGTTACGCTTACTACGAGTTGTTAATGTCACATTTTCTCGATAACTGTCTGATTGTAAGTTCTACTAACAAATTACACAAACACAAAGAATGAAAGAGAAATTATAACACTTTTGATAGTGATCCCAATGTGTGATTATGAAAAAACATGATATATATTACTTACAATGCTTGAGGTTTTACACATGGTGCAAATACTAAATTTAAGGTTAAGAAAAATAAACGAATTGCCTCTGGCTTAAGGGAATCGTTCCTAGGTTTTGAGAAATCTTAAACCATGTAACATGGATTGTACGATCGGAATATCCATCTCAGAAGCCCGACTCAAAGACTAGCTGATAAGTGGTTCAATTCCATTCATATGCAAACAAGAAAATTCAATTAAGTCAGAAGCAGAAAACAGAAACATAAAAAAGAAATGTATTTCACGTAAAATTAAATCTTGTACACAAATTCGAATTTAATACGTTAGAAACAATAAAAGAAAAGAAAATGTACGCAAGGAATTGAATCCATGTTTGAAAAAGAGACAAACTTACGTGATGAGATAGGACAAAAGAGGGAGACAGAGACAGAGAGAGAAGTGGACAAAGATGCAGATTCAGAAACACATAACTATTGCTCACTGTCTCTGTCTCAATAACGTTACGCAAAAATCGGAAATCAATGTGAGAATAGTTAATTTTTTGGATTTGACCCACTATTTGGGTTTTAGTTGGACAAAAATCAATAAGCATAAATAATTTTATGACTTAAATAAATTTATCTACTTAAATTAGTTAGCCTTTTTCACAGACAAATTATTTTAAGTCACAAATATAAGGGTTTGAAACCAAACAGCCAGGTGTTTGTATGTAAAGAATTAAACGTGGTAAAGAGTGGAATTTCCCACATAAACATGAAACCCTTACAAAGTTGCGCATTTTTCCTACTACTTTCTGAAGTTATTGATGTGAAGTTCTGGCAGCACAAAAGGTTTACCAAGTTTAAGGATGCAGAAGGATTTTAGACATTTTAGTTCAGCGTTTATGTTTGGCGAAGAGGAATCATGGATGATACCATAATGCTCTGGAGAACCCCAAGCAAGTGTTCTTGAAGGACAACATAACGTAATGGGCAACTTCCATCAATTATTTTAGCCATAATATGCTCCACTTTTGGCAACATTATTTAATATTTTACTTCAGTTTTTACGCTTTATTGATATTATATAAATATACGTAAATATATATATATATATATATATATATATATATATAAGTTATTGTTAGTAAATAAGTTAATAACTATGTAAAAAATATATCAGTGGAAGTGGAATTATAAGACTTAATCATGTTACTAATAAAACATAAGGCTATTAAAAGTTATATAAAAAGCAATGTAAGGGAGACTCTTCTAAACTTATTCTACATGTAAAGCCATTGGAATGAAGAATAAAGTGAAAAACAACAATTCTCCACATTCCAACCTACCCCAATGCTCAAGAAAGTAACAAGAATTTCTGTTTAAACACCTAAAAGAAGAAGTTGAATAAAAATGTAGAAAAGAATCCACAGGCTTTGCACCACTGCGTCATATAGAGCTTGAGGTTGACGGGATTCATCAATATGCTGTCCCTCCACAGAAGGTAGAGATGCTCTTGCAGTAAGTTGCTACTACGTAAAAGACCTCAAACTTGATTGAACCGATAATCTCTCTGCCAAAAGGGGTTAAAATGAGAAATTAAAGAAGGCTTAACTTAACTAAAAGAGGAGGTTCATATGGAATCAGGATAATTACAAGCTTTTTTTCATAATAGCACATGCAGACAAGATACCGTATGCTAGAGCCAATAACAGCTAAGGTTTTGTCACAGAATTCAAATTCAATAAACATAATCAGCCCAACACAGGGATTGGGGCCGGGGGATTCTTTTTTTAGGAAGACAGCTAGGGATGATGTTACATTCCAAAAAAAACAACTAAAACTAAATGCTTCCTTAAGGTCAAGAACTTCTACATCTAACAGAAAGTTGAAATCACATCGTTTGAATGGTATACCAAATGAAGATACGTGCGACTCCTCATATCACTTAACCATTCTAAAAAAGAAGGTATTGGTGCCAAAATAAATAAGCAAGAGGTGACATACTTATCAGTTCGTAAGTAACAATCATGGTTGTTCCATAAAGTGACATATTCAAAAATCTTGGTCCAAAGCCCCTGTAAAATCCCCACCATCCATCTTCCTTAAGGAGAATCTTTGCTGTCTTCAGTACTGATGGTCTTTCAGAGCCATAGTTGTCCATCACCTTTATGCAAATAAAAAATTGACAAATCCAAAATAGCCATATTAACAGTCTAAAACCAGAAAGGGAAAAAAACAAAACATAAAAGAAACACTAATTGGTTCATTGGAAGATATATCAATCCCAATTTAAAATCCTAAAAATGTCTCCCTTCTTGAACAACAGAAAATCCTAAAGACGAGTCGCATTGCACATACCTGAAGACGTGTTTTCACAGTATCTATGGGAGTAGTGATAACAGATGAACAAGCACCAGCCACCATCCCAGCACTAGCCTGAACTGTAACCATTTCCACATGTGAAGGTTTTTTACCCGTATCATCTTTGTAGCCCAAACTTCTAAAAGACAACAACCATTCATAAATTAAAAATGGAAAAAAAAAATCATTTAGAGTCTTTAGGGTGCGTTTGGAAAGACTTAAATGGAACATGTTTTAGCCCATAAAAGTAAACTACAGTCTGGAATCTTCTATAAGCACTTGTTAACTCTTAACTTGCTCTGCATGGCTGCTGAGCTCATTAAAATAGGATAAAATTCAGATAGAGTTATTTAAGTGTTTTTTTTTTATATTCAGAATCGAAGTTTAATCTTAGTAACATGTATCAACCACTAAAACTTTAACACAGGCATTCATTAGTCATATTATTAAGATGAAACTCTAACCCTAATTTGATACCAGGACCAGCAGCATCTAATTCTTACCCATTAAGACAAGCTTCAGGTATGTAAAGCTTGTGAACAAGCTTTCATACTATAATCCAAACACACCCTAAGAAGATAGATGTAAAAGAGCACGGAATGTACCTCCAAATTAGGTGTTGTGCGGCAGCATATGAACCCCACCAAAGTGCAGAAGCAGGGGACTGCGTGATCGCCGTTAATCCAAAACCCCTGTACAGACCACGAAACCCCTCATTCTCCACAACTTTCCGAACAACATCAAACGGCCCTCTACAGAACGCTGTCCCAGGAAGACCCTGCACCATCAACCTCTGACAAATCTAACAAACAGACAAAAAACCATTCACAACATCATAAAAAAGTATAGTAGCAAAAAAAAAAAATAACACAATATGCACAGAGCGTAGGAGCTTTGTTTCAAGTCAAAATTTCTTGAAATGCAAAAAATTTCATGAAAAAAAGTTTCTCATTAGCTTAATTTCAACTCAATCTTATAAAATTGAGATGCAAAGTAAAGTTTGCATCATGCAGATCCCTATCAAGGACCTACCACATCCAAGGGCACGAAGTAGACGCAGGAAACCAAGTTAGAGATCATGCCAGCGAATGCGTTAGCGAGGCCAACACGAGAAGCTTCTGGAATGCGAGCGGCTTGCGTGTGTTTCAAGATAATGTCTTTGGAGACCTCGAGAGAGGTGAGCGCCAGAACCCTACCGGGGATTGAACCAATGGCGGAAGTGCCGAAGCCTCTGAAGATTCCCGAAACGCCATCGCTCCTCAGAATTTGGGCCAGCACCGACGTTCCTCCTCGCAGGTGCCAGGACTCCGACCCCGCCACTTGCATTCGTGTCTTCACCACCGCCGTTGGATGAAGCAGGCCTGATTGAGCCGTGAAGAGAACGGCACCGATGACGTGGAACTTGGTTTTGTCCAACCTTATATAGAATTCACAGACACAACAAAAAAACTCGGTTGATGATGAAGTGAATGGTTCGAACATTGAAGCGTAAATGTATAAGAAGTCAAACCTGTCCCAGTTGATGTCTGTGTCGGCTAGTGGTAACTGTGAAGTGGTAGTAGCATCAGCTTCCATGCTCATAAACAACTAATTCAACTAACTCTTTTCACTCTTTGGCTTTTGCTTTGGAAGTTTATGTGATGAGTATAAGAACAGTGTCTGTGTTTTTTTGAGTTGTGTATAACAAATGATTTTGGCTTGAGCGTGTCTGGTTTCCCGAATATTTGCTGAATGAAAGTTGGTAATGGAAAGAAGAAGAAGAAGACAACCGCTTCAGGAGAAAGTTCCAGTGGTGTCGATTTTTATTTTTTTTAGTTTATTTTATGTTGTGTTAAAAAATAGGTTGAATTGCTTTCTTTGTCCCCAGTTTGGTTGAATTGTGTCAAATTCATCCTCATTTTTAAAAAAGTTTCATTGTCATTCTCACGTGGTGTAAAAGTTTCATTGTCGTCCTCACGTGGTGTAAAAGTGTCAATTGAATCCAAACATAGAAAAAATTTGTGTTAGCTCCAGAGAAGTGACATATGAAAGGAAGACACAGAGATATAGGAAAAATGACTACTTTGACACAAATTTTTTCTATGTTTGGATTCAATTGACACTTTTATACCACGTGAGGACGACAATGAAACTTTTTTAAAAATGAGGATGAATTTGACACAATTCAACCAAACTGGGGACAAAGGAAGCAATTAAACCTAAAAAATATGATTAATTTGTCTGATATTGATTTAATTAAGTGTTTAGTTCTTCAAATTTCAAGATAGACTATTTTTTTAAAAAATAGAAATGAAAACAGTTGTAGTTTAAAAATAATAATTCTGAGAATTTAGAGAGCACGTTTATGAATAATAGGGAAATGACTTTATATTTTTAAAAAATACAAAATACAATAAAAAAATATTAAAAATAAATAAATAAGAATATATTACACGTGATTATAAAGTCTAAAATACTATAAAAATCTTAATAAATACATAAAAATAAAAAATTAAATTATTTATATTGTTTTTATAAATTAAAGTTAAATTAATTAATTTTAAAGTTAAATATATTTTTATTTCTTAAATTTTTAATGAAAATTAGAATTATCATTTCAAAACTTTGAACTAATATAATTTATTATTTTATTATGAATTTAGTCTTTTTAATTAAATTTTAATATATTTATTTGATATTTTAAATATATTTAAAATTTTAAATAAATTTTAATAAAATTTAGTTAAAAAAATTAAATTCATAAAAAAATTAAATTAGATTAAAAATTAAAAAAATAATTTTAATTTTTATTAAAAGGCAAAAATATATATTTAATCCTTAATTTTATCATCACAATAATTTTTCATGAAAAATATGAAAATTTATTAATATAAATACTTCATAAAAAACACACATATACTTGTTCTAGGACTTCACAAAAAAAAAATCATTAATAAAAAATCACTTTACACTAAAAAAATAATTAAAAATCCTTTATGCATTATCACATTATTATAAAATGTTAAATAAATTATAGAAGTGAGTAATTTATTGGAAATTGATTATATTAGAGAAGTGAATGAATAGTTAAATTAGTAGACGTTAATTAAACCGGTTAACTCAATATAATATTCTTCTAAATAATAAATAAATTTGGATAAAAAATGTACTATAATAATAATAATAAAGTAGCTGTTATTAAAATACCTGTTAAGCAAGTAAACAGTGTATTCAGGAAAAATAAACATTGTTGTTTTTAAAAATAAACAAAAATAATAATAATGCTTGGTTGAACCCAAATATGTGAATCATGGGATTTTGTCCAAAGCCATCAGTTCAATATAAACCACAATAACTCACTTAACTAGCTTGATTTAAAATTATGTCCTTTAAAACTACCACTCAAAAAGAGAACATGGTTGAATTAAAAAAAGAATATTGTTTTGTGATACTTTTATACTGTAATACATTTAAATTATTTTTAATCGTATTATTATAAATATAAAAAATAAATCAAACTAAAATAAAAACAAGTGATCATGTACGTATCATTTTATATCTTTTATATAATGTAAAAATCTTTATATATATATATATATATATATATATATATTTTTTTATATTATATATATATATATATATATATATATATATATATTCTNTCATCTATAATTGGATGTTATAACTATTTTGTATAGTTTATTTTATATATGTATATTTATCAACCAATATTTTATTATAAAAAATATTGAAAAGTTTAGCCTATTTTCGCTATTTACTTCTTATGAAACCAAATCAAATAATAAGAAAAAATGATGAATTATGAATTGAAATTTGTAGACTGTTTTATACAATGTTTTGTTTTATGTTTGACACTTAAATGTAAGTTTTAGCCAATAAAAACTATTTTTTTTTTATAGTTTAAATTTGTTAGCATGTAATATAAGCGAGTTTGAGAAAAAAAGAGTGATATTTGATAAGGATTTATTTGTAAACGGTATTAGTTTTTTTTATATATAAAAGAGTATAACTACGGACAAAAAGAAATAAAAATAGATGTATTTAGATTAAGAAAAAGATATTGAATAATAAACTAGAAATGAGAAAAAAAAAGATTGTGGATTTTTTTATTGATAAGGGTGATAAAAAAAAGTATAAGATAAATTTATATCAATAAAATAGAAAATTAATTTTGTAAGATTCCAAATATATTATTAAATTATAAAAGAGTTATTACATAATTAATAAAATATAATAATTAACATGACAGAATAAAAGTTTCATTATAATTATACAAAAATAACTATAAATTTAATTTTATGTACAAGCCAACTAGAACAAAACTATATACATTTAACTAGTTTGGAAAAAACTAAATATGTACTTCATCCAAAGCTACAGGATCACTTCATCACCCTTTGTTCATATCCATTGGATGATTATAGGCAAAACAACAATGCACAAGCAAAAATACTAACAAAATACTAACAAAACACAAACAAAAGGATAAGCTAGTGATACAAAATAATTCATAGTATACTTAAGCTTTTCACACATGAATCATATTTCACATAAAATAGTTCAAACATCTTAAACATATCAAAACCTAGATACACTATCCGGATTTAATATGAATGTCGAATTATGGCGGGTTGTGCACTTGTGGTGGCCTCTACTGTTTTGCAAAACTATTGTCAATGAGTTTCATCCTACCACACTCACAAGATTAGTCTGTACCATGTCTTAGGCCATACTGGAAATACCTAGACTATAAGACCTCTTGCTACTCTCACCACATGTATCAAACATCCCTGTTTGAGAATGAATAATCATTAGAGTTTCATAATAACCCTTAAGATTTAACTCCCTGTTACTAACAACACTTTGATATAACCATTGAGAATCCTCCTTATAATTCTTACACACCTCATTCCATTCACACACATGTTTCAAACCTTACCATAGATAATGCAATAAACCATTATAACTTTTAAAATCATACACATAGTTGAAAAGAATTCAAAGATGCCCAAGAACACATACTCACTGGCTCAGTTAACAACCCTGCTCACCCAACGAGAGACAAAACAACAAGCTCCCCAAGCTAAGCGAGCTGACTCGCTCAACCTTTACAATTCCCTACCAAAAACACCAAATACTTGCCCAACGAGAGCCAAAATAGCAAGCTCCCCAAGCTGGCTCACTCAGCCTTTCAAACTCACTGCCAAAACTCCCCTAAACTCACTGCCAAAACTCCCCTAAACTCACCCAACTAGCCTATTAAACTCGTTCAGCCTGTTGCAGCACCAAAACTGCATAATTAACACACCTAAACCACCTGTAATTGAATTATAAACTATTTTAAACCTAAACAAAAGTGTTAAACCAAACTTAAACTAGTTATTAATTATTTAACCACAAGATTTCCCTTAAGAACATCTAACATCTTTCATTTGAGACCACAATTGAATTGTACATGTTCTAGCTCATTTTTAAGTAACTTTGGAATTCTAACACGTCATAAATGACTTACCAACATATCACAAACCTTCCATTTGGACACACAACCTAAGATTCAAAATTTCAATAGTCCAAACTCCCAAAACGCACTTAAAACCAACCCAAAACATCACAAAAATATTACTATATTTGTCTAGGCCATAGTTCAACTAATTAACCAGTCTAACAAGTCACTACAAGAAAAAATTGAATTACATACAGCCAAAATCCGTATATAAAGCCAAAAATTCGTATATAAAACTTAATTATATATGGATTATATACGGGCAAAAATCCGTATATAATTCTATCGTAGCTATATACGGACATATCAGTATATAACTTATATACGGATAAATCCTGATATAATTTATATACGAATATATCCGTATATAATTGTTTTAGAAGAGCTGAAAAAGTCGTTTACAATACCCTGAACATGCCCAATTCATTTCATACAAACAGACCTGGACATTATAACTGAACATTCAAAATTCATATAAGCAAACCTGGACATTATACATTGCACATTTACATATAAATCCACAAAGGAAACATTGTACATGAATACATAAATATTGTTTACATCAAAATATTCCAAGATTAAACATTAGGTAAGTTCATATGTCCTGGTTCTAAATAAGTTCAACAGTAATGGAAATTAGTTGTATAAAATGCCTAATAGTGCATATAATTATTTTCATCTTGTGGTTGGTGGTCTGGTGATTGTTGTTCTTGAGGTTGTTGTTGTGGAGGTTGTTGTTGTGGAGGTTGATGTTCTGGAGGTTGCTCTTCTGGTTGGACATCATTAGGTGCTTGATTTTAAACTTCAGAATTTTGGAAGTTTAAAAAGTTTTGTGCAACTGTGGCTGCTGAAGGCGGAAGGAATGGCAGGAGGACGCCAATAAAGCCTTGAAACTTTTCAAGCTGCTGATCATATTGTTGTAACTGCGATTTAAGGTTAACAATTTCTTCTGAATTTTGTTGCTGAGTAGAAGAAGATGCATGTGTCTGTTGGATGTAACTATCGACACAATCATCTTGGGAGCTGACATTTCCAATGCCGTATACACGTCCCTTGTATTTTCCACCAACAGCCTCTAACCAACATCGGTTTCTCAATCTTTCCTCCTCCGCAGGGTCTAAAGGACTACATGCTGAGGCACCAACAGATGTAGTCTCAGATCTTATTTCTACAAATTTTGCTTGAAATTGTNAGTTGTATAAAATGCCTAATAGTGCATATAATTATTTTCATCTTGTGGTTGGTGGTCTGGTGATTGTTGTTCTTGAGGTTGTTGTTGTGG